GAAATTAATTCAAAGCTGAATCCAGGTTAGCTTGGAACTACCCCCAAAAAGAGAGGCTGGGCTGGTAGCATTGGCACAAGAAAGGAGGGGATGTATGAAGTAGTGGAAAAGTGAATTTGGAAAATGTGGCAACAGGTTGGCTATATCGGGGAGGGATGGGCTCTGGGTATCTGAGCTACTGGGAACACTCTCAAGTATTTCTTGGGCATCTATTATGTGCCAAGCTCTGCATTAGCTGCTGTGATATGACATGGTGAGCAACACAGACTGATCTGTGTCCTCATGGAGATTATGGCTAGCTGGGAGATGGACTTATGGGTGTCCTGATAACCAGTAGGGTACTATGGAAACATGTGGTCCAGTCTTGAGCAGGGTGGGAGATGGCCTCCTGGAGGAAGTAACATGTAAACTGAAGGTGCACCAGCAGAAGGAACAGCATGTGTGAAGGCCCAGAGGTGGTGGGACTGAAAAAAGCTAGGGTGGAGAGGAGTGAGAGGGGCAAATAATGAGCGGGAAGCTTGAGGACTTTATCCTGAGACCCCTTTGATCGGTTTTAAGCAGGGTAGTAAAATCTGTTTTTTTAAAGAGAAATGTTCTGGCTGCCAACATGGAGGACAGGGGGTTGAACTGAGGCTGGGAGGACTCAGGGCTCTTGCTGTGGTCAGGGTTCTAAACAATGGTGGCTTCAACTAGGGTGACAGGGATGAGGTTAGAGACAGATGGTTTCTGAGATATTTAGGAGGCAAAATTGACACGCTTCCTTTCTTGGCTAAACATGGCCACATCCTACCCCATCCTCAGGAAACCAACATGAAGTCGGCCCATTGTCCAAGACCCCATCTTTTATAGAATGTGCAGAACTGAAGGTGGTCCTTAAGCGTCAGCTTGGGGAGTAGGTGGGCAGGAACCCCCAGCTCTCCTGAAGGTGGTGGTCAAAGACTACTCAGGACCCCCAAATGGGATCCCAGCTCTCCTGAGATGCTGCAGTCAGGATGAGGCGACAGCCTGCTGGCAGCACCTCTCACACTTGTCTAAAGGCTGGAAGCTTGTACCCAACAAGCCAAGTGATGAGAACTAGTGGGGATATGGTGGGACAAACGCCAACGAGAGCCTGTTTGGCCCAGACCTTGCTCAGTTACCTGGAGGCACTGTCCTTGGGGCTGCTCGGCAGCGTCAGTGGAGGCTGGCCTTGGCTAACGGCTCTCCGGAGATGCCAAGATTAGAAGTCTCCGAGTTTCCCTTCTCAGGTGAGCCCCACAGGGGTGGCTCTCCGCCATGACTCTCCAGAACCACTCCAAGCACCACCTTGGGCAGGGTGCGTGCGTGAATGTAGGGGATCAGGTATTTTCGTAAATTTTCACATCCATTTAAAAGTTTGATGAAATAAAATGTGGTTTCCAGAAGCTGCTTCTGCTCAGAGAATGAAGCAGGCAACCCCTGGCCTTCACCTCTAGCGTGAAAACCTGACTCATTCTCTCTTGTGCATACTGTGCGCGCACATGCGCGCGCGCACACACACACACACACACACACACACACACGGCAGAAAAAGTTTTGTTTTTAAAGCCTTTTATTATAAAAAAACCAAACCCAAATCAAAATATTTCCCATTGGAAGCTGTATCTTTTTTTGTTTTTTAAAAATTTTATTACACAAATATCTCCCATTCCCACGTGTCAGAGGAAAGATGTCCTTGCTTTCTCTAAAACCAATAGTGGAGAACGTTTAGAAAACGGAAATCCAACTAGCTTCCCTCCTTCCCTGGCCCAAAATAACCCCGATGTGTCAACTGAGATAGCATGACTTGTCCCCTTAATGCTTACATTTAATTTAAATTTTTTAGCACAACATTGGAGATTGACTCTAAATCAGCAACAAAAAATATATATATATTTACAATATTTCTCCGAAAAAAAAAAAAACCAAAAAAACAAAAAACACAACCAAACCCTTTAAACATAGTGACTTTAGGAGTTTTATTTATGGAGCAGTTATTTTTTTAATCACCAAGTGATTTTATATTATATATATATAAATTTTCTTCCTTTCCTTTGTGGTTTTTCGCCCCGGTGCTTGGAAAGATGGAGGCAGGGTGTGTGGTCCTGTGGTCTGAGGAGGGCAGGCTCTCCTGGCAAGGCCGTATCTAAGAGCAGATTGCAGGAAATGCGATGGAACTCCCGGGTTCCTCAGTCCCCAAACAGAGACATTTCTTTCCTCAACATGGACCATCCCTCACCTCTAAAAACCATTTCCCCCCTCATAGTCCCAGAGAAAGGGAAAACCCAGCAAGGGCATAGGTCCATCTGCCACCTCTCCTGGGTTCCCTTTTCTGCTGACCAATTACGTGCACGGTAAAAATGCTTGTTTTTCCAAACCCAAAAGAAACAAATAAAAACCAAAACCCAAAACAAACCATCAGCTTGGAAATTTCTGTGGATGAAATGTCCCAAAGTCAGAGGCACTCTCCCGGCACAATCCCTGCTCTGAAGGGGTCTCTCCACCTCCCCTTTTATAAAAAGACAACACAAAACAATCTTTTCAGTATTTTCCACAGGAGCAACCAAAAAAAGGCAGGAAGCTTCCAATTATAGATCATTAACAATATTAATAAGGTTTTTGCTCAATACCCAGGGTTCTTTACAGAGAAGTTCCCCTAACTGAGGCACTCTGGAATAAGTCACTGGCGTTTCCTCAAAGTTTCAGTCCCGGGTCACTGGGCCTGGAGACCAATGGAAGGGGCAGAGGGTCACAGGAGCAGACTGCTGCTTTTAAGGTGCAGCTAAGAGAATCAGCAGATTGGAAGAAACAGACACAATGCCTTCCCCTCCTACCAGGACCCAATTTTCTCTTAGGATGCCAGTCAATGCCAGGGTCAAAGCTGGGCTAGATGGCAAAGAGGGGCCCCTCTGCCTCTATTGCTTTGGAAGTGGCGAGGGTGCTCTCCTCGGGGCGCCTGGGCTCCTTGCCCTCCCCTGTAGAGCTTCAGGAGAAGAGCCTGAGACTGAGCTGCAGGAAAGGGGCCAGGGAGGGGTGGGGCTGGAGGACGAGGCGGCAGGGCAGGGTTGTGCTATCACTGTCCTTCCGGAGGGAGAGCAGAGTGCAAATGAGTCTATCACTTCTAAGCTCTTGCCACAGGCTGCTGCTATTGAGCATCTCCTCACACATTTCAATATTGACCCAAAAGAAATTCCGACCTTTCTTCTTTTTTTTTTTTTTAAAGTGCAAAAAGCTCTCTGCTGCCCTAGAGAGAGGATCTTTGGACAGGCCGTTCAATGCAAAGAAAAAGGGGGCAGCTGATGGGGCTTGACACAGGGTGGTAAAGTGGGAGACACCATGCTCCCCCCTTCCCTCCCCACACACACGCGTAATACACTCAGCCACACACACAGAGGCACATGCACACCCCCTTCCAGGGCTGCAGGCAGAGGGCAGGTGACTGGCTTCAAAGCAGGAACTCCCTCTTCCCCCAAATGGTGCCAGATCAGCGAGCCACTGGTACTGAACACAGGTATGGGCTCTGGGGGATACACTACACTGGAGGCTTGGTACCTGCTGGAAGGCAGGTGGGGTCTTGGCCCAGGTCTCTGCCCCC